AAGAAGATCAAAATATACAACCAGAAGATGACAACAAAGTCAAAGCTCTACATCCAAAGCCTCCAAGAAAAATATGAATCAGTCCCAGGCCTTGGAAGAGCTCCAGAGGCCTTTTGAGAAGCAAGCAAGGGAAGTAGAGGAAAAACTGGGAAGAGAAATAAGAGTGATGCAAGAAAATCACGAAAAACAAGTCAACAGCTTGCTAAAGGAGACCCAAAAAAATACTGAAGAAAATAACACCTTAAAAAATAGCCTAATCCAAATGGCAAAAGAAGTCCAAAAAGCCAATGAGGAGAAAAATGCCCTAAAAAGAAAAATTGGCCAAATGGAAAAGGAAATCCAAAAGATTACTGAAGAAAATACTTCCTTAAAAATTAGAATACAGCAATTGGAAGCTAGTGACTTTATGAGAAATCAAGACACTGTAAAACAAATCCAAAAGAATGAAAAATTAGAAACAATGTGAAATATCTCATTGGAAAAACAACTGACCTGGAAAATAGATCCAGGAGAGAGAATTTAATAATTATTGGACTATCTGAAAGCCATGATCAAAAAAAGAGCCTAGACATCATCTTTCAAGAAATTATCAAGGAAAACTGCCCTGATATATTAGAACCAGAGGGCAAAGAAATTGAAAGAATCCACAGATCTCCTCCTGAAAGAGATCCCCAAAGGAAAACTCCTAGGAATATTGTAGCCAAATTCCAGAGTTCCCAGGTCAAGGAGAAAATATTACAAGCTGCCAGAAGGAAACAATTCAAGTGTGGAAACACAATCAGGATAACACAAGATTTAGCAGCTTCTACATTAAAGGACCACAGGGCATGGAATATAATATTCCAGAGGGCAAAGGAGATAGGATTACAACCAAGAATCACCTACCCAGCAAAACTGAGTATAATCCTTCAGGGGAAAAATGGTTCATTCAGTGAAATAGAGGACTTTCAAGCATTCCTGATGAAAAGACCAGAGCTGAATAGAAAATTTGACTTTCAAATACAGACTCAAGTGGAACATGAAGAGGTAAACAGGAAAGAGAAATCATAAGAGACTTATTAAGATTGAACTGTTTACATTCCTGCATGGAAAGATGATATTTATAACTCATGAGACCTTTGTCAGTATTAGGGTAGTTGGAGGAAAAAATTATATGTATGTGTAGAAGATAGATAGATAGATAGATAGATGAGATAGATAGATAGATAGATAGAGAAGGCACAGGGTGAGTTGAAGATTAAGGGGTCATACTGGAGAATAAAATTAAGGGATGAGGAGGATTATACTAGGAGAAGAAGAAAGGGAGAGGTAGAATGGGGTAAATTATCTCACAAAAAAAAAAAAAAGAAAGTCTCTTACAGTGGAGGGAAACAGGAAGGTGAGAGGGAATGAGTGAATCTTATTCTCATAGGATTTGGCTTAAGGAGGAATAACATACACATTCAATTGGGTATGGAAATCTGTCTTACCCTACAGGAAAATAGGGGGAGAAGGGGACAAGAGAGCAGGGGGATGATAGAGAGGAGGGCAGATTGGGAAAGGGGTAATCAGAAGTAAATACTTCTGAGGAGGACAGGGTCAAAAGAAAGAATGAATAAATGGTAGGGCAGGATAGGATTAAGGGAAATAGAGTTAGTTTTTCACAACATGTCTACTATGGAAGTGTTTTGCATAATTGCACATGTACAATCTATGTTGAGTTGCTTGCCTTTTCAATGAGGGTGGGTGGGGAGGGAGGAAGAGAGAAAATCTGAAACCTAAAGTTTTAAAAAACATATGTTTAAAAAAATGTTTTCACATGTTACTGGGAAATAAGAAATACAGGAAATGGGGTACAGAAGTCTATCCTGCCCTACAGGAAAATAGAAGGGGAAGGGGATAACAGAAGGGGGGAGAGATAGAAGAAAGGTCAGAATAGGGGAAGGGATATTCAGAATGCATGCCTTCTTGGGATGAGGGGAGGGGTGAGATGGGGTGAAAATTTGGAACTCAAAAACTTGTGGAAGTGAATGTTGAAAATTAAAAATAAATAAATTTATATTAAAAAAATAAAAAAATTAAAAATAGATTATGAAAATTATACAAAAATGAATATTCATGAGGAGAAAAAGAAGAAATAATATTTTATGGTAGTCAGTAGAGTACCCATGGAGTTTTTTGAGTAAGAAAGTGGCATGGTCAAACCTAAGCCTTAGGAAAATCACTTTGGGAGCTTTGTGAAATATGGATTGAAATGTAAAGACTTGAGGCAGAGAGACCAAATAGAAGGCTATTGCAGTGGTACAGGTGCAAGGTGATAGGAGTCTGATCTACAGTGGTAACAGTGAATGGAGAAAGAACAGGAAGTGTAGGCAAAATGGAGGCAGAAATGTCAAGATTCATCAACTGATTTATCAATGTTGGATTTATGATCAGAGTGAATAATTGAAGACAATACCAATATTGTAAACCTGGATGACTGGAAAGATGGTAGTGCCTTGACAGAAAGAAGGAAGTGGGAGACAGTGGTGGCTTTGGAGGGAAAGACAGTGTAATGAGATACATGATGTACATCACAGCCCATCCATGCTTCCTCATTCTCTACAACTTACTCTGTCCCATCCAAAATGAAAAAGAGAGGGGAAGGAATAATCTTACTTACCTGTCACCTTTGTATTTTTCTGAGGGAAACTTCTTGAATATAGTCTCAAGGGTTCTTGTATCCAGCTCCCTCTGCCACATCTCTCTGTTTCCCATAGTGAGAAAATATAGCAATTGGGTCTCCACATGCCATCCTGGTTGTATGGTCAAGTTCACTGAGCACGGCCTTAGAATCAATAGACCATGGTTCAAATCTGCATGATCATGAGCTCATATTTTCTGAACCTTAGATTCTCCATCTGTAAAATGGGTAATATTTGTTCTATCTACATCACAGAACTATTTTGAAGGATGTATAAGCCACAAAGTGGTATAGTAATATAAATTGTCATTGGCATTAAAGTTATCAGTATTAAAGCCCTTTCCCAAGTTTTAGAATTCTACCTCAGACAGTAATAGCTGCACAATCTTGGGCAAGTTACTTAACTTCTCTTCTTCATCTGTGGGACAGAGATAATGATACCTCATAGGGGTATTTTGTGGGTCAAAGGAAATAAAGTATATCAATTGTTTTTTAAACATTTAAAATACTATACAAATGTCACTTATTTATTATCTTTTTGTTATCTGAATAAAAATGGTATAGTAGAAAAAGCACAAGCTCGGTAATTGGAGAGCCTAGGTTAAAATCCTGCCTCTGATCCTTACTATCTGTGTGACGTTGGAAAAGTCATAACTTTCCCTGGCCCTTGGTCCCTTCATCTGGAAAAAGGAGGGGTTGGACCAGATCAGAGATGTTAAACTCACAGCCGTCTGGCAAAATTCTCAAGTCAGGCCCAAATCAGATTAAAACATAAGAGTGGAATATTTAACAAAATAAAATTTTTAAAAATACATATGACATAGATGATAAATGGATTGTGGTTTTCTAAGTCAATATGACCCTGCACAGATATGTTTCTATTTGAGTCTGATATCACTGGACTAAATGACTGTGAGGTAACTTTTGGTTCTGAATCTATGATTCTATTGTCCTCGTCTTAAGAAGTCTTTCTCTCTCTGTCTCTCTGTCTCTCTGTCTCTCTCTCTCTCTCTTTCTCTCTCTCTCTGTCTCCTCTTTTTCTCTCTCTTTCTCTTTTTTTCTCTCTCCTTCTCCCTCTCTGTGTCTCTCTCTGTCCATGCGTGCGTGTGTCTGTCTGTCTCTGTCTTTCTCTGTCTCTGTGTCTGTGTCTGTGTCTGTGTCTGTCTACCCTTTTTATTCTGTCTGTCTCTCTGTCCCTATCTCTGTCTCTCTCTCTATCTTTTTCTTTTTCTCTCTTTTTTCTTTCTCTCTCTCTCTTTCTATTTTTTTCTCTCTCCCTCTCCCTCTCTCTGTCTTTCTCTGTCTCTGTGTGTGTCTGTCTCTCTCTTTCTCTGTCTCTGTGTTTCTGTGTCTGTGTATGTGTCTATCTCCCCTTTTTTTGTCTGTCTCTCTGTCTCTGTCTCTGTCCCTCTCTGTCTCTCTGTCTCTCTCTTTCTGCTTTTCACAAGCTTATAGCTCAAAGCAACCTGGTAGTCCTACCCCTTTATTTAACAGAGTAGGAATTTAAAGACCGAAGGGTATGAGTGGAGTGGACTGATTTATTTTCTCACTGAATATAAGATTCCTTGGTGAGTGAACAAGAAATCACCAAACAAGACTTGTTTCTTGATAAAAACAAAAACACATAAAAAAGAAAACATGGGAGGCCAGTTCGTTAGAGAGAAGCCAGAAAGAACAGATTATTAACCAAGGCACAGACTTATGCCCACGCTCACATTCTCACACAACATTTTTCCTGGCCTCATCTTGAGGTCTGTCAGATCAATAAATAAGTTTATGGCTATATGAATTATTCCAATGGGAATTCAAAGACTAGGGAAAATAAAATGGAGGCTTTATAGTTAATCCTATTGGCTAGCATCTGATTAAAACACCCGCCTGCAAACTGATTACAGCTGTAATCCCTTCTAAGAAGCCTTATTTTAAAATTGCAATTATAAAGGATGTTTGTAAAGAGCAGAAATACTTAGATGTAGCTTATAAGGGAGATGGCTCCTGGCTTCAGGAATCAGAGAGTCACTGAGTGTTCCATTTTCTTGTTAGGGTATATGTAGAGTCGAACTGGAAACTTAGGTTGAAACTCCTCACTTCTTCATCGTGACATTGTGGATAAAGCACTGGACTTAAAGTCAAGAAGAATCTAGGTGCAACCCCTTCAAACACTCAGCAAATCACCTAATGTCTACAAGCCTCAGTTTCCTCATCTGTAAAATAGAAATAATAGCAATACCTATTTGACAGGATTATTGTGACGTTCAAGTAGGATAATGTATGTAGGTTAAATGCTTTATATGTCAGAAAAATGTGACATAAATATGACCTAGACATAGATCTCAGTGTTTATTAGTCTAGGGATCTGATCTTGACAGATATTCTGAAATCATCTTGAATGACCTTCTTCCATGCAGAGTTTGTTTCTGATTCCCCTTGTGACCTTAGTCAAATTACATGACTACTTTGTGCCTTGGTTTTCTCATTCATAAAATTAGGGTGTTTGATTTAGAATCAATAGACCTTGGTTCAAATCTGCTTGACGATGAGCTCATGCTTTCTGAGCCTTAGATTCACCATCTGTAAAATGGGTAAATAAAATTTGTTCTATATCGCAGGATTGTTTTGAAGAATGTATAAGAAACAAAGTATTATATTAATATGAGTCACTGGCATTAAAGTTAGCAGTATTAAAGCCCTTTCCCCAATATTAGAATCCTATCTTAGACCTTAATAGCTGCATGACCCTGGGCGAGGTACTTAACCTCTTGGATTTCTAAAGAGTTTGATCAATTCTGTTTGACTGAAAAGCATGTACAAAAATGGGGAGGGAGGGAGAAACAGCAACTTATTGTCTGTTTAATTGAGTGATAAGGATCATTCCAGCCTTGACATGTAGGCACTTGGAAATGTCAAAACTCATGTCAGTGTGGGAATGGTAATCCAGGCCTTGTCAGTGTAGGGACAGTAGTGTGGACTAAAGGCAGATTCAATTCTCATCCCTACAGAATGAAGAAGAGAGGTTAAATAGCTTGTCTAGGGAGGGGTAGGGGAGAAGATCTGTACACAAATAACTATATACCAATTAGAATAATAGAAAAAGTCGAAGTATCCTTCAAGATTTGAAGAAGAAATTACTCTGAGTTGGCTAGGAAAGGGGAGAACAGTCAATCAGTGAAGGTTTCATGGAGGAGATAATACTCAGCTGGGCTTCTAAGAAGAGAAAGCAATCATCCCCAGTCATAGGCTTGCTTAGAGGACTAAGGGAACAGGCACACCCTCAAAAGAGTATTCCAGTTGACCCATCCCTTGAGGCATACCATGGGGGACCATTCCTACTGACCAACTCGTAGAGGTGGCAATAGAAATGTGATATCAGGATGCGCAGAAGTAAAGATGGAAAGGAATCCCTTGAGTGTGTCTTGGCTCCTTCCTGCTCCATCTTCTTATCCTTGCCTCTGTCACCTGGTCACCTTGAAACTATGCCTATTTTGGGGGGGGGGTGGGCATGCTTTTGTTCCTCCCCTTAGGGTGAGAGGGAGTCCTACACTGACAAGAAGTATGTCTCAGTTTCATATTCATATTATTCATATTATTTTGTAATGCAAAATGCCCTTTGGGTTTGATGTCATAGCACTGTGGACTACCAGAGCCCATTCCAAGGCTGAGGCCTCTCCTTGCTCCATTTCCAAGGAGTCTTTAGTTATGAATCTCAGCCCCAGACTCTGCCCCCTATCCATACCCCCAGCTCCCTGACAGTAGCAAGATCTGTGCTACAAGTTGTGAGCTGCAAGTATTAAGCCTTATAATCCTTCTTTTCCTTAGATGTGGTTTCCCCCGGGGGAGGGGGAAGAGTTGTAAATCCATGGTGGCAAACAAGAAAAGCCTGAAGCTGTGAGCAAACAGGAAACAAATGATTTCAATCCCAGAATGTAAACCACCATTGACAAAGATGCATGAAAGAATCATAACAGGAGAACCTGCTGTAATTTCTCATCCAGTTACTAACGGAGTCAGTGCCACAGGGCTGGGGAGCAGCTTGCCTGTCCTGGCTGGGGACAGTGACAGCATCACCTGGGACACCAAGTACTATGATTCATAGGTCAGGTGGTAGGTGAGATAGCAGGGACTAGTGAGAAGCTATCCTGCCCCCAAATATCTGCCACAACCTGGGCCCAGACTGCTTGAAATTTCGCTACTACTAGAGAATCATTAATGATCACTTAGGATTTTAAACACAGAAAAGACTTGGAGGTTTGCATTTGAGGGATTTCTTTGGCCATAGAAGAAGCTTTGGAAGGAACTGGGGCTGTTTATTCTGGAGAATGCATGGCAGGCAGAGAGGGGAGAGATATAATAGCTTCTTCCCAAGTATCTGAAGGTCTGTCATGTCAAAGAGGGGCTAGGCTTTCTCTGTTTATCCTCTGAGAGCAGAACCAGAAGCAGTGGGTAAAATATGTTGAGAAGTAGACCTTAGTTCTATGTGAGGGAAAAATTTTTATAACAATTAGAACTATCCAAAAATGAAATGAACTGCCTTGGAGCTAGTTATTTGCCCCATCAAGGGAAAGGCTGGTTGATGATTTGCCAGAGATACTGCAGAGCAGATTTCTGCTCAGGTATATGTTTGACTAATGGCCTCCCAGGTCCTTTCTAGCCCTGAAATTCTGTGACCTGAGGGTCATTTTCTTGCACTCTTGCAATTTATCTAACACTGAACCAATCAGATGAAACCATGGCATGCTGGCTAAAGAGCCAGCCATATAGTTAGTTGGGAAGACAAGGATTCAAGAATCTGCCCCCTGCCAGATACTGTGTGTGATCCTGGGAAAGTCACTTGACCAATCTCTTAATGCCTTTACCCCACCCCAAGCAACTTTCTGCACCTGTCAAGGCAGTTCCTCATTGGAAGCTTTCTACACCAATGAAATCACTGGTCCAGTCACAAGCAAAACAGATCATTCAATCAAAAGAGAGGGAAATTAAAAAGTTCAGAATGCATAAATGACATTTCCTAAGCCAGAGAGGGGAGGACAAGAATCCAGGTCTCCTGACCCCTCCGCTGCTGTGCCAGAGTCTCCACTTTTAGCTTAAGCATTGCCTTCAACCTGTGATTTTCTTTCAAAATGCAAACGCCCCTGGGAGAGGTTGAATTACTTAGCTTTGAAATAAGGAAGGATTAGGTAATGAACCATTTCAGAAAGACTAACAAAGAAACAGAGAAAGATGGAGAGAGGTATAAAGGAAGAAAAAACCAGAGATAGATATTGAGCCAGAGACAGACACATTGAGAAAAATTGAGAGCGAGAAGAGAGTCAGTATAAGCTTAGGGGCAGATACTCACTGGCTGGACAACTTTGGATAAGTCACTCACTCTGTGCCTCAGTTTCTTCAGCTGCAAAGTCGGGTTGGTTACATTTATATTACCTTAAAAAAGGATTATTGTGAACAAAGTACATTATGTAGTGACCTTTCCCACTGGGATTTCCCATAACAATTTGCATCTTTCTTACAGGTATTGTGTATTTTGTGATATAGATATTTGTGAAGAGGTTACAGAAAACTTAATACGTGTTTATTACATTGAACTGAATTGACTGGAAAACAGCGAGATGCCAAGATAAAAAAAGACAGCGATCTCAGGTCAATGATTTAGTAGCAGAGTGGGAGACAAACCCTTCTTCCTAGCCCAAGGCATCCAGAGTTTCAAGAACTGAGAGCCAAGTGGGTGTTACAAGCCAGACCTCTGACTCCTTAGGACTGGTTCATTTAACTGCCCCTAGGCCTTTCCCCTCACTCTTAGTGACAGTCTTTCCTCCTTGAACCCTGCTTTGGGATGATGGGGCTCTAGGCCATTTCAATAGCTGTGTGACACCCCAGCAGCAGCTGACTAGATCCCTCTAAAAAGTTTATGAATAATAGTAGCTACATCTATATAGCACTAGAGGCTTTCCAAGGCTCTTGATATTTATTTTATTGTATTTTATTTTGGTGACCAGGCCTGTGATTCCATTTGTGTAGGGAGCTCCCAAAAAAGAATTTCCATCTCTTCCACTTTGAAAGATTTCTGGTGGGGCAGCTAGGTCGCATAGTGGGTAGAGCGCAGTGCCTTGGACTCAGGGCCCTTATTAGCTGTATGCTCCTGGGCAAGTCACTTAACCCCAATTGCCTCCCTCTCCCCCCAAAAAAAGAGAAAGTTCCATGGTACATTGTGGGATTAAGTGATTTGTCCAGGGTCACATATCTAGTATGTGGCAGAGGTCTTCTTGATTAAAATCAACTCACCATCCATTATGACAGCCTGCCGTCAGCAAAGTACTCTAGTTCTCATTTGGGCCTCAATACAACTACGTAAGGTAGGTGCTACAGGTATTATTATCCCCATTTTATAGATGAGAAAACTGAGGCCTAGACATTTTAAGTGATTTGCCCAGAGTCAAACAGCTAGGAAGTAAGTATCAGAGCCAGGATTTGAATGCATGTCTTCCCTGAATTAAAGTCCAGAAATTTTTTTCAACCATGGTGGGTCTCATAATTGTTTGCTGATTTCAGTTGAATTCAACAGAATTAAACTACATTAAGTTCAAATGACTAAGGCTCTATGAAGTCAAACTACTCTTTCCTGTGGAAAGACCCAACCTGCTCTTTGCATTTTCATCTGTAATCACTACCACTTGCCCCATTGATTCCTGGGGTTCACCCAGGAACCAAATGTTTTGTTTTTAAGGCTCTGAGCGAGTTTCCTTCTCTTTGTGTTTCTTAGAATCAGAAAGATAGGGCTGTTCGGGGTTGGGACTCTTGATGTGCAGAGTCACGGATATGTGTCTATGCCACCCCTTCTGCAAAAAAGGCCCTGGGATGGCATTACTGAGAAAATGAAGGTTGGCAGGAAGCAAAGAGGAAACTGATTTGGGGGCGTACACCAAGGAAAGGAGGTGAGATGCTCCTTAGACTCAATTGAGCCTCTCTCCCCCTCCCCCCAATCCCTCAGAGGAGAGGTATGCATCTCCAAAGAGAAGAAAAAAGGGAGGGGGTTGCCTTGCATTCCTGAAGCCCTTATTAGCAGGAATAAAGCCCATTCCAAAATCTCTCCACCCTCTGCCAATTCAGGACAGCTGGCAGCCCAGAGTCGGAACTTTTGTCTCAAATTCAGGGCGGTCCCGTGTGGTTGGCAACTCTACCAGGGACACATTTCCAGGACAGCAAACTTTAGACATTCAAAGCAGAAAGGAAAGACAAAAAACCCCATCCCCCATCATGATTGCACCTCCTAATGCACACAGAGATTGGGGGACCCCACACCATCTCTTCTCGGGAAAGATGCCTTACCTTCATTCCTATGAAGACGTGTTTCTATGTCCCTAATTCTGGGGGCTTCTTGTATTTCTCCACTGAATCTCTTACAGTGTTTTGAGTAAATTACAAGGCTCTTATCAGTGGCAGTGGCCTTATTGTTCTGCCAAGATATCTTCCTTTGTCATAAAACAATAACTTGTTGTAAGGAGTGCTTTTTTAGGTCTACCATTCAGACAGACTAATTGTATCTTTTAATCTGGGTCAAACTGCTCTTGCTTATTACAAATTGGCTCCAAATCCTAAAAAAAAAAAGAAAAAAGTGAGGAACATTTGCAAATAATTTAGTGGCAGAATTACCCTTAGATAAACACTATGTAATGTTTAGAAGAAATACTTCCCCCCCCCACCAGCTCCCAATCCTCAGCCGTTTATCCCTTTGGCTGTCTGGGAAAAGAAAGGGGGAGGAGAAGAAGCAAGGGGTAGTGGGGAGTGGGAGAGGTATTGAGGCAATGAGAAGGGAACATGGAATATTTTTAGCTAAGGATTCTTCCAGTGTAAAGGGGCTGTGAAATCAGGAGGGCCCTACCTGCCACTAAACTAAGGAAATTAAGAGACCTCGTTTGCAATGCTCACCTGGGCAGAACAAGTGGGTTCTAAGGGAGGAGGAAGATGCTGAGCTCGGCTCAGGACATGTTGAGTCTAAGTCACTCTTCTTAGGTAGAGATGGTGGAATCCTTGCATTTAAACAGGAAGGGGACTTCGTGATCCTTCTGTTCAACTCCTTGAGTTTACAGATGAAGGAACTGAGGCCTGGAGTTAGAGTAAGTTACTTGCCCAAGGGTTGTCAGTGGGACACACATTCACATTCCTGTTTAAAGGCATTGCAAAGATGCAAGGTAAGAGAGCATAATCAGGGGTGCAAGCCACAGCCTCTGAGTCCTTCTGGCAAACTTAACTAATTAGTAGAGTCTGGATTTGAAACCAAGCCTTCTGGCTTCAAGTCCTGTGGTTACCTGCAAAGGCAGGACATGAGTCTGGGAGAAAAGCCAGGTTGAAACAGAGATGTAGGAAGGAGACCTAGGACAGCCAAAGTCAGGTTGAAGTCACTTGGAGGATGCATGTGTAGGGGAGTAGGTGTGAGGTGGGGGGGAGGTAGCTTGCATGGAGAGGTGGGAGAATACAATTTCCTGACATCATAGTTCTCACAGGATTTAGGTCTGGAAGGAACTTTAGAACTCTTATAGTTCTCTCTCTTTTCACAGAGGAGGAGCCTAGGAAGGAAATGACTGAGATTAGAACCAGAGCCTTCTGACTTCACATCTAGCGTTTTTTGTCTATACCACACCATCCTCCCACACCTTACCACCAGGGATCAATCCTAATAATGTTGAGGACAACTTAAGAAAGAATTTCTCCTTGGTCAGTCATTCAGTTGCTCTCAACATCTCTGATACTATTGGGATATGCCCTGCTGGAGTATGAGTTCTAGCTACCTTGGATAGGAAACTACAGAAAAGTCCACAACCTGATTTCTATGGGCTCGATAATACTTCACTAATATAGGCTTCCATACACTGGAGGGTCCTTATTGCCTTTCCCACTCGTACTCACAAGTTGAATCCCCAGAGGACTGGATAGCTATACTTCCCCCTCGGGGTTCTAAGGGCGCCCCTAAATTATAGTGTTGCTATCAGCTTGAGCCTCCATTCCAATATGTTCTCTTCAATGTCACTCGTAGGTGAATGTCTCCTCAGTGTTATTGATTGTCTCAATGATAAGCATCTTAATATCATTTAACAAATTAATAAAAAAAAATTTTACAAAGGGACATTTACCAAAAACATATAGCAAAAACCTCTGAATAATATTATACTACTACATACTATATTCCCTATATTACCTTAGTCTCTGGGAAAGTAAGTTCACTTAACACAATTGCTACAAAGAGTTTGCCCCCGCCAAGATTATTTTCAAATGCAGCATAGCTGCTGTATGAGCTTACTGCATAGCTAACTGCAGCCCACATCTTGGCTGCCACAGAACCACTGCTATACCAGGTCAAGCAGGTCACTGTTGCCTCACCAGGTTCAGCTGCTGGCAAACTCTCAAATAGATATCAGTCCCTCGTTTCTGGTTGTTCATTCTTCCAATCTTTTCGAAGCTTTCTAGCTTCCAACCTTCACCTTCACCTAAGAGCAGAATAGAAAAGACCTGAGACAGAAACATTTATTGTGACTTTCTTAGTACTGAGTAAGACAGGGCCCAAGACTCTTTCTCTTCCTTGAGGTCTACAGACTTCATCTTCCTCACTTCAATAAACCAAGGATGAAAAAGCTTGAGTTGCTCCTCTCAGATCATGGGAATTTTTTGGATACGCCCTCAATTCTACCTCAGTAGACAATCAAAAGCCTTTCTTCAGCATACATTAAATCAACCTGAAAAAAATTACAGAATATCTCTGTAGTTCTGAAGTAGAAAACAGGGCTGCCCATTACTGTGTCCAGAAGCTGTCTCACTAAGCATCTCAGATAGGTTGTCAGCAGGCAGAACACTAAACATACTCAAAGGATGAGGTTCCCATTGGCCAGTCCCACTATTACACTAAATAATACCTCAGGTGTTTTTACCTTTTCCAAAGTGTTTCTGCATCTTTTCATAGGAGTATAGATTTAGAGGTGGAAGGTACCTTGGAGATCATCTAATCCAACTTTCTCCCCCATTTTACAAAGGTAAAAACTTGGCTACTAAATGAAAGAGCTGGGATTCAATCCAAGATCCTCATCTCCAAATCCATTAATCTTTCCATCATATGATGATGCTTCCCACTATACACCAACCAAACCCTGTGAAAAAGGCAGGGTAGGGATTATTATACCTATTTAAAAGATGAGGAACAAGGCCTATCAAGATGAATAAGCTATTTAAGGTCAAACAATTATTGAATAACCACTCTTACCACCATGCCAAACTACCTCTCAGATCACAGTACCATGTATTTAGAGCAAGAAGGAGCCTTAGACATAATTTAGTCTAACACCCCTCATTTTGTAGATGAGGATGAGAATGGTGATGATAATAAATAGCACCTATACATCATCTACTAAGTTTCAGGCACTCTGCTAAGCACTTTAATAATATAATAATAACTAACATTTACATAGTGCTTACTATGTGTCAACTACTGTGCTAAGTGTTTTATAATTATTATTTCATTTGATCCTCATAACAATCCTGGGAGATAAGTGCTATTATTGATGAGGAAACTGAGGCAAACAGAAGTGAAGTAGTTTGTCCAGGGTTACAAAGATAGCAAGTGTCTGAGGCTGCATTTGAACTCAGGTCTTCCTGACCCAGGGACCAGTGCCCTATCCACTACACAACCCGGGGATTTGCTAAAATTACCCAAGTATTAAGTGAGAAAAGCTAGGATTGGAATACAGATCCTCCGATTTGGAAATCCCACACCTCTTCTTCCTCATCACCTGGGGAATTTCTCCCTTTGTTCTGAAATATTTTAGTGATGTCTGGCATGAAAATGATTACTCACTCATACTAGATCTCAGGGACAGTCAGTTAAACATCAGCAAGCACATCTGGAGGGCTGTCTCCTAACTGTGACTGGATATCTTGCCAGGCTGATATCTCTAAAAAGGCTTTCACTCTCCTTCCCCCCCCCCCACAAAGCCCTGTGTGGAAATCGACATGCTGACTTCATCTTCCAGCATTCCAGCAGCCCCCAAAATTGAACGCCCATTTATGTCTAGACCCAGAAGGAAAAACATAGCTTAGATAAAGGTTTTTTTTTGCCAGCAAGACAAATGTTTTCCAGCAGAAACAGATGGTGGGGCTGCCAAGACACATGCTTATCTCAGAACCAAATAGTGTCTTTGAAGAAAGGTAGGCGGAGTAACCACGCCTGCCCACCCTATTACTGCACATTCCCATTTGTGCTGGACACTCCTTTGTGCCGGACACTCCTTTGTGCCACTAAAATTAAAGACCCGTGAAAATGCTGGACATCACCTTCATATAAAAAGTTTCTGTCCCTCACAAAATAGGACCTACAGAAAACACAGGCCTTCTGTGATCACATTGGACCTAGAACTACACATTGACAGAATAGGTAGATGCCAATGTGTATGATTCCAGCAGCATCCAAAGACCTCCTCTCCACCACCTCATTTCAAAGTATCTTCCCCACATACTTTAATAATCATCACTCCTTTGAACTACTTCATTGAAGGTCCCTATTAAAAATGTAAAAATGTTCCTTAAGAGAAGAAACCCACTGAAGCCATATGACTCATGAACTTCACTTGTCCTGACTTAGTTAACCAAACCATCAGTCCCTGATCAATATCCTGAAGACATGGAACACCAGAAAGGTAAGTTTTAGAAAAACGGGGGGGGGGGGGGCGGAGCCAAGGTGGCAGAGTAAAAGCAGTGACTTGCTTGAGCTTTCCCCCAAACCCTTCCAGATACCTGTAAAAAACGGCTTTAAACAAATTCTAAAGCAGCAGAACCCACAAAAAGACAGAGTGAAACAAATTTCCAGCCCAATACAACCTGGATGGTGGATTGGAAAGGTCTATTGCTCAGGGCTGGGAGAAAAATGCAGCTCACCTTGGGTGTGTAGGCAAAATAGGCCCTGGACTGCAAGTATGAGAGCACATGGGGAGTTGTAAGGTATAAGAAGACTAGAAAGGTTGGGGGGAGAGCAGGTTATGATGGGCTTTGAACACCAAACTGAGAGTTTTATGTTTAATCCTTGGAAGTGATAGGGAGGCAATGGAGTTTATAGAGTAGGGAGGTGACATTGTCACATATGCACTTTAGGAAGATCACTTCAATGATTGACTGGAGGAGGGTGGACTGGGGACCAATTGGGGGCAGGAAGACCCACTAGCAAGCTATTGCAATACTCCAGCTGTTATTTAATAAGGCCTATACCAGAGTGGTGTCAGTCGAGGAAAGAAGGGGGTGTATTCAGAAGTCCCAGGTAAAATCAATAAGCCTTGATAACAGATTGGATATGGCAGTGGGGGGGGGGAGAGACAGAATGAGGAATGGAGGATGATACCTAATCTTCAGTCCTGAGTGATGGGGAGGGTGGTGATACCCTCAATAGTAATAGGGAAGTTAGGAAGACAGGAGGGTTAGGGGGAGGGGAGAATAGTGATTTCCATTTGGGACATGTTGAATTTAAGGTGCCTAGGAGACATCTAGTTCAGGATGTTCAAAAGGCTGTTGGAGATGAGACTAGAGATCAGCAGAGAAGTTAAGGCAGGACAAATAGATCTAAGAGCTGTTAGAACAGATATAATAATTGGAGTTGATGGGATCTCCAAGTGAAAGAGTATAGAAGAAGAAGAGAGCCCAGGACAGATAACATGGAACACCCATGATTATGGAGCATGACCTGAATGAAGCAGAGTAGATTGAGAGGGAATGGTCAGACAGGTGAGAGGAGAGCTAGGAGTTTGTTGTGTGTGCTGTGTTTAGTGTTATCAGTCATAACCGACTCTTTGTGACCTCATTTGGGGTTTTCTTGGAAAAGATACTGGAGTGATTTGCCATTTCCTTCTCCAGCTCGTTTGACAGAGGAGGAAACTGAAGTAAACAGGGTTAAGTGACTTGCCCAGGGTCACATAGCTAGTAAGTGTCTGAGGCTGGATTTTAACTCAGGTCTTCCTGACTCCAGGCCCAGCACTCTATCCACTGTGCCACCTAGTCACTCATCACAAAAACCTAAAGAGAAGAAAGCATCAAGGAGAAGGGGTTAATCAATAGTGTCAAAAGCTACAGAGAAGTCAAGAAGGATGAGGATTGAGAAAAAAAAGACCATCGGATTTGGCAAATAAGAGATTGTTAGTAACTTCAGAGAGAGCAGCTTTGGTTGAATCATTCATAGAAGTCAGATTGTAGAGTTAGGAAGAGAATGAGAGGAAAGGAAGTGCAGAGAACAATTGTAGACAGCCTTCTCAAAGGATATAGGGACAAAAGAGAAAAGAGATAGGAGATGGTAGCAAATGGGTATAGACAGATCAAGTGAGCATTTTTGGATGTTGAGAGAGATATGGACATGTTTGTAGGCAGTAGGGAAGCAGCCGATAGACAGGGCGATTCCTTCTAGCTCTAAGATTCTTTCTAACTCAGACATTCTGTGATTTAGGGTTAAGGAAACAATCACAAAAAAAATGATCCAGAGTTTAGGACACCTTAAAGGAAGGAAGTGGCCCGAGTGGGTGTGCTCTCAAGAGTGCATCCAAGAAAGACCAGAACACTTCAGGAAGTGGTCACAACAGAGTAAGAAGGGCACCCTGAAGGAGATGGAAATGAGGTCAAAGAACCAATTTTGCTAATTTTACAATATTGCCTATCAGCATTAGACTGACCTGACCATCACAGTTGTTATTAATTAAATTGTGATATCATCAGTTAGAGGATCCCCCAGGGAGGAAAATCATATACTTAGTAGAGCTGGTACCTGCTATGCAACTTATAGTCTTAGAGAATTTTCTGAAGGCACTGAGATCAAGTGACCTATCCAGGGTCACATAGCCAGTATGTGTCACAGATAGGCTTCTGAAGTCATCACTTTGACCACTGCACCATGCTGCCTCTCAAAACAAGGAGATCCAGCAGAGACAGTTTCCTCTCAAAAGAAGGAGAAACAATAGAAAGAGAACTGAATTTGGATTCAGAGGACCTACTTTTGTAGTCCAACTCCACTGTTTATTAAGTGAGAGAGGCAAATTACTGTTAGTCCTTCATTGCCTCTTTTGTGAAAATTAGGGAGTAGTCTACATAGTAGAAGCTAAGTCCTGAGGGCTCATGGCCTGACCTCAAAGGGTATATGATCAACCAATCAAAGAATGGGAATATGAATCAAATATGCACCTCCCCTCCTTTCTTGCTTGTATCCAGGTCAGTCCCTGACCTGTCCTTACCCTATTGTCAGTCTAACTCCCAGCTCACCCAAACAGGCATCAGCCCAGCCCTTCCTTAAGCCTTGTTCACTGGACCTAATGCCAGCCCTATTCTTACATTCCAGTTTGTGACACTTGCTAACCAAGGGGAGGGTTCACAAGAGCCAACCCAGTTAATTCTGGGGGAAGCAGGCCTATCTTGGGCAGCCAGCTTGAAAAGAAGATCATAGCATCTTCAATTGAGAGCTGGAAGAGACCTTAGATGCCTAGTCCAACCCCCTCATTTTATTTTACAGATGAGGAAACTGAGGCCCAAGAAGGTCATATGACTTGCCCTATTTTGTGTGTGTGTGTGTGTGTGTGTGTGTGTGTGTGTATTACCTACATGTATTAATAATGGCAAAGTTAGGATTCAAACCCAGGCCTTTAGACCCGATATTTTTTCCATGATACTATACTGCCACTCAACACCTAACAGGTGTTAATACTGTCCTCCATACCACTGCTTGAGATGAAAAGGCATCCTTGGACCGCAGGTAAAACACAGCTTCTTTGGTTTTGTTGGCTTGGTGACTAAGCTCTGAATGGTCAATATAATCATTACAGATCCATTTTTGTCATGTGAGACTAGAAAACCAGAGCCTGACACTGAAGTCCTTCAGGAAAAAAGAAATGTTTTCTTGGTTCTTCTCATCAGACTCATTTAACTGGAAATTTTGAGTTTCTGTAGTGGGTAATCATCCTGGCTTTAAAGGAAAGGCCCTAGTCCCCAGTCCTCAGTCCCCACCTCTGCCAGCATTAGGGTTACACATGTAGTCAATTTTTTTATTATCTGCATTGTGTATTATCCTTGGAGAATTTTTAATGCTTCCCCTACTGTCTAGCTGGCATGTACTCAAAGAAAGCAGACATTTTCATTTGATCCTAAGCCAAACATAATTAATAAAGTAAATATACTGGAAAAGTCATATAATGTAATCCAAGGCCAAATAAAAATGATTTTTAATTATCCTGACCACTTTAATTAGGATTCCACTTATTTGAAATCTGTGATCATTTAACTTGGGTTGGACTGAAGTTTACCTCTCCACTATCTATGAAAAAGGCTTTCTCTAAGCAAATCAATAATGTAAACAAAATTGGAAGAGCTCTGTTTAAATTACCTAATAAAACACTGTTTTAAGGTGCCCTCAAACACTCAAAAACCCATTTCCATACAAAGGATGATATGATCATTCAAAACAATTCATACACACACACACATATATATATGTATATATATATACATATATGTAGATGTATATTCATGTATATTCATGTATATGTATATTCATTAAGGTCAGTCTTTTAATAGCCTATACTACACAAAGTGTTCTTACCTTAGTTTGAATTATTGTATTACTTGAAATTAATACAATTATCTTTAAAATAAGCAAACTATGATCAAATCAGCTGTTTTACTCATTCAGGTTGGCAAACAAGTTGGGTTTAACTCTTTTTTTTCTAACTTGCTATGTGAATTTCAATGAATCGCTCAGCCCCTCTGAACCTCAGTTTCTTCATATATAAAACCAAGAAAGTAAACTAATGATTTCCAAGGTCCCTTCTAGCTCTAATCCTCTAACATAATACATATAGAGATCGATAATATCTGAAAATACATGTGTATGTGTGAGTACATACATGTGTGTACACATGTATACATATATACATATATATATATGCATGTCTATCCCTTATGGAGGATTTATAGAAAAGTAGACAAGAATCACACAAGATAAGAAAGCAGAGATAAATTATTATCTGCACCAGTGGTGATAGTACCTACATGGATGAGATCATGGATTGATTAAAGTGCAGCTTCTCTATGTGTGTATATGTGTGCGTGTGTGTGCACATGCAAACATATAGACATCATTGATGCATTATGAACACATAATGGGTCATAATACTAATAAGCTCACGTTTATTAAGTGTTTTAAGATTTAAAAAGTGCCTCCCTCAAGACAACTCTGTGAGGCATGTATGACACATTATTTTCCCCATTTTACAGATGAAGAAACTGAGGACCAGAAAAGTACAGTGACTGCCTTAGTTATGTAGCCAATAAGTTTCAGAGCTGGAATTCAAATCCAGGCCCCGTGGTGTCAGGTCCAGAACACTTCGTGCCACATCTGTGCTGCCTTTCAGGGCACAGAAAACAGCAAAGTAAATTGGCAAAAGTCCCCAGCGGATCCCATCCACTCAATTGAGACTCTGCGCACGTTCTCCAGAAAGTCATTTTTTTCTTGCAGTTGAAGGATGAGATCGCTACATCTCTGTCACCTACCCAGAGAAGAAAGTGCTGTAGAAAGACAGATTAGATCATCTATTATCAAGTAGGCAAAAGACAGACCAAGGAGACACCTGCAGTTTACCAGATGTTCTATCAATTATAGGAAGTCTTGGGGAAATAATATGCTTCTCCCCTCCCTCCAGCCCACACAACTGAAGGAAGGTTTGGGGAAGGGACCAGGCCACCTACCCCTCAATGTGCCCTTGTTCCAAGTGACATACTGGTGTGATTTTAGCTCCCAAATCAGGTTTAGTCACATTCTCCATGAGCCCTGCGAATGTGGGCTGAAAATTCCCAGCAAAAAAAAGAAAGACCATTAGCAGCATGCTGGCTTATGTGAGTAGGAAGCAATATTCAGGCTTTTGAAGCATTATCAATTTTCAACGAAGAAAATCTGTCATATCTGTTTAAGTTCTGGCCAACACCAAAAAGTATACATTATGAGACACCCCCAACAACAAGCTTCCTGTTTAAATTTGCACGCCTCTGGGACAGGTAATACCTGATATTCCCATCAGTCATTAACACATTCATTTCAGCACCTGTTGTGGTATTGCTCTAGTTTGGGTTCAAAAATTCAAAAGCATATATATAAGTATATAATAGATTTAGAGCTAGAATGAACCTCAGAGGCTTTCCAGAACAACTTCCCTTCACCCTCAATTTTACAAATGAGGAAACAGAGGCCCAGCAGTATTAGGTCATTTTTTTTTCCCAAGGTCCCTTCATTTGTAAGTGTCAGAGGTGGGATTAGGGCCCAGGTTCTCTGACTCCTTAGTCTGGGTTCTTTTCACTGAATATTGATATAACTATATGAGTTTGTGTGAAAAGGGTCTGAGGTTCTCAATGAATTTATTTGAGTGGATGGTATCTTGATAGCATCATGTGGCAGCCACCACAAGACAATGCCATTGGAAGAAAAGTGCAGTGTCATAAACCATAGATTTAGACCTGAAAGAGAACTCTCCATGTTATAGCTAAGGAAACTGAGATCCATGGAGTTATTTGTCTGTATACATAGCAAGTAGCAGAACAAAAATTTTCTCTGACTCCAAATCTAACAGTCTTTCCACTGCATGAAGTTAGGTAAGACTTGTATTCAAATTTTGCCTACAACCTGTATTCCCTGTGTGGCCTGGGAAAGTCACTTATTCTCTGGACAGAGGCATCATGGAAATGCTATCATCTAACTGCAAGAGGGGCTCCTCACTCCACAGCAAAAAGGGAAAGAAGTGGCTTAATGATTGCAGACTTATGACTACCAAAACATTGAAACTGAATTTGGAACAGACCATGGCTGCTGTGAAGCAGGCACAGGGCACAGTGGAAAGAGTACTGGGCCTATATCTTTGACAAGAAAACCCCAAATGGGGCAAGAGTCAGACCCAACTGAAATGATTGCACAACACAAGTGGGTGCTGTGTTGGGGAACTTGGGAAAATGAGAGCTCTTGAACAAATTTTTTATGAACATATTTCTCCAAAACTCAGACAAAAGAAATCACTTTTTTTTAAACTTTGAACCTTATCTAATGGCCATTCCAACAAGATTACTGAATTCAATTATTTGAAAGGCTAGGATATGGAAGAGCCATTAGAATTGTTATGCTTGACCCCACAGGTCAGAACTGGGCACAGTGGATGACAGTTGTTGAGAGAAAATTTAAGCTTTATATAAGGAAAAGCTTCTTGACAGAGCTATCCAAAAGTGGGAAGGGCTGAATCGTATGGCATATCATGTGACGCTATCATCTAAGGTCTGCAAATATATGTCACATGATCATTTGTTACAAATGTTCTAACATTTCTTCTCAGGTCCAAGTAAGACTTAAGTGGCCTCTGAGATGCCTTCCAATTCTTTTTTTATTATTTTTATTATTATCCTGAACTTCGGAAATTATTTCTATAACATAGAATAGAAAAAGATGATTGTACATGAAACTGAAAATCTATTGTATACAACTTGTTATACCTTCTAAATATATAAGAAAGTTATCATGTAACTTTTCTTTTTTTTCCCTCCCCTTGCTCTAGAGATGGTTACCATTAGATACAAATATGTGTATGTGTGTGTGTGTATGTGTGTGCATGTGTGTGTGTGTGTGTGTGTAAAATCATTCTATACATATTTCTACTTATCAGTTCTTTCTCTGAATACAGATTGCATCTTCTTTCATAGGTCCTTTGTAGTTAATTTGGGTATTTATATAGTTACTCAAACTTGTTCTTAAAACAATATTGCTGTTACTGTATACAACATTCTCTTGGTTCTGCTCAATTGACCCCTTTCAATTCTGAGATTCTATAGTTCTGTGGTTCTGGGTTCTGGGTTCCTCCATTGCTTTACTGCTCAAGGGCTCAGCATAACTTGAGACAAGCCTAGGAGCAAGCAAATTAAACAATGCTTAGCATAACTAGAGGTTACTTCTCAGGAGAGGCCAGAAGAGTGTCCTCACTGGATCCTGCTTTTAAGAGGAGGATCTCAAGGGATTAGAAAGATGAGAAGAGTCATTTCCTACCTAAACTCCTGGTATTCCCTTGCTTGTACCTGGAACCAGGAAAGTCTACGATAGAACGCTAGGACTCTGCAGGGTGTAAACTAATGAAAACTAGAAAAGAGAGGGTGCACAGCCTATACTCTGCAAAATTTCTGCATAGTGCTTGTCGATGTTGGACTGGGAGTTAAGAGATCTAAGTTCTAATGTTTTTGTTTTTTGTTTTTTTGGTATTTTGGTGCTTCTTGTTATTGTTTTGGTTTGGGCCTTTTGTTTTTATTTTTTTGTTTTGTTTTGTTTGTTTTGGGAAGCAATTGGGGTTAAGCATCTTGCTCAGGGTCACACAGCTAGTAAGTGTCTGAGGTTGCATTTGAACTCAGGTTCTCACCTCAACTGGAGGATGCCTGGGAACCTAGTTCCCTTTAAGGTATTCACTTTGTATAAATTTTGCATTTACTTATCTACGCATACTTCATCTAACCTTTTCCCCTACTCCTGTCTTCCCTCCCCCCAGTAAGAGGGTAAGACTACTTCACTTTTGTACCCTCACCACCTAGCACAGTGTCAGGCACACTGTAGGTACTTAACTCTCATTGATTTGAGTTGAACCCACATTCTTGGCTTTACTGTTCCCTTTCTCATTGAACCTCTCCTTCCCCTCCATACTTTAGTTTCCTCATCTTAAAAATGTGAGGATCAGAACAGATAATCTCTTAGGTCCTGTGTAGACCTTAAATTCTATTCTTTCTTATGTCCAAGCAGCTCAGCCCCACTCCTATTCTGTTTCCAAGTCCTGCTCACATCATTTCTTCATACTATGGTATAAGTGAAGAATGAGAGCTAACATTTTGTCCTTGCCAAATGGATTTTGTATTTTAATAAGAATGAATATTTTCAGCTAAATTGCATGGAATGCTTAATGGGTGAACCTCAGCATTTGGAGGAGAATTTTGGAGGATGGCTACTGAAAGTTTTCTAGTGACCTTGAAATCTTAACCTCATAGGTAATGGTGAACCAGCAAATGCGGGTAGAATCTAGGGATCCTGATTTACTTGGGATTATGGCCCTAAAGCTGGAAGAAATCTGGGAAGTCATCTATTTTCAAATCTCTGATTCCATGTTAGTTTGGCCAAAGCCTGCCTCACCCTTCTTGCCAAGCCAGTATGTAATTCTCTTCCTCCTGGATGTTTTTACCTGTATTTATACCTATCTCTTTTCTAGTTCACTCCTTAAATCTTGACATATTGGAAACATTCAGACTCCTTTGTGATATTATATTCTCTCTTCATAGCAAGAATTAGAACAAATTTCAAGTACTGCTTTAAGTTCAAGCTCTGTGCCACTGAAAATATTGTAACCATTTCCAATATTGACATGTATTATTTTTTTTCCAGTTCTATTAGACTGTGCTAATTAATTTGCTCAGTGAATAGCAGCCATCAATCACTGGTGAGCTTGCCTCTGAAATTCTTTATCTGACTCTCTGGATTTATCATCAGAGTCAGGGGTAATAGAGAGATGCCCACTGTGTTATGACAGATGCAAGGGGAGCCTTTCAGCTCTGCTTAACTTGGAGCAACACTCTTTTCCAGGGGTGCACATTTCCATCCCACTGAACCGCTGTTAATGGGGATGGAATGGGGATTGTTGTGAGGAGACCTGGCAAGAGGTGTTTCTGAAGGAAGGGTACCTACTTCTACTCTACCTTTCAGAGTTGGAAAGAGATGTGCAATTCCCCTGCATTCTGCTCTGTTGGGAGTAGATTCAAAGGAAGGGGCAATGAGTTAAGGGCCTTGTGTCCATGAAGCTTCTGAAGATGGTACAATGGTCAGGGTAGATAAGCATTCATTTGGAAGGGAAGGCTTTGCATAAGAGGTGGCACTTGAGCTAAGCCTTGATGGAAGTAGGAATTTCAAATGATGGAGGTGAAGAAGAGCACACAGGAGGGAGACTGGATGATGTTAAGAGGACACATTTGTCTAGTTCATTGGAGTCTACAGTATGTATGCGGTGTTCAGGGAGGACTAGTATCTCTGGTGTGAGAGCTTGCTGAGTCCTTTTCAGGGCTCTTCATCCACTTCTGGTGTCCACCTATCACCCAGCGCTTACCTTTGGCTCCAAGAAGCTATGTCATATGCAGCAGCTATACCCTGGTAAAACTGTCTCAGCATATGGGTTAAACCAGGCTGAGGGTAACTGATGGGCCTCAAACCTGTTAATGAGTTAGGGAAGTATCTGCTAAGTGAAGACTTTCCCTGGTGGAACAGGCGGATGAGAATAATTTGTTCCAACAGCCATGAAGGCAGCTGAAGCCACACTGTGGAATGCTTAGAGCTTGGTCAGACTTTGAAGCCAAAGTCAGCCACTGCATCCAGGGCCATGGCCAGTCCTCTTGACATTGATTTTGCCATTGGACTTAAATGACTCTGGAAGAAAAAGTGAGGCTGATAACCTTGGGCAATTCTGCCTCACTTAAATCCAATTTACATACAAGTTATCACCTCATGATATCATTGGTCCTCTTCAAAAAACTGAAGGACAAACAATGACAACCCTAGGAGGCATATAGCTTAATTTATTTGAGTGAAACAGGCTGCTGTAGTGAGTTCTTCACTGCCGGAGGTGTGCAACTGGAATCTGGATAATCATCGAATAATAACAGCTAACGTGTGTGGTACTTGTTTTTATTCTTGTTCTGTCGTGTCCAACTCTTCATGACCCCATCTGGGGTTTTCTTGGCAAAGATACTAGAGTGGCTTACCATTTCCTTCTCTACCTTATTTTACAGA